TGGCACTGCCCATTCGTCTCAAGATACATTGCTTCATCTGCTGAGGTCCGCCAATTTTTTGTTGTAGGAGGTCCCGGTTTGTCGTGCCTCGAAACAGCACTGGTAATTGAAGCACTTGCATATGGTTGTACGGGTATCCAGCTTGCCATCATGGGTCCATCACTAGCGGTTGCGCCTATCCTTATTTCAGGGAACGAAGAGCAAAAGAAGAAATATCTGGGAATGCTTACTGCTGAGCCAATCATTGCAGTACGATTTTTGAGAGAAATCTAGTTTGATTTTTTTTAGCACGGTTTATTTTTTCGAGAGAAACCGGAGAGCTTGATTTTTGAGCAGAAATCAGAACATCATCAAGAATTGCTGAATAAATTTAAACTGTAAAAGTAATACTTTTCTGAAAAGTTTAGCTTTCAAGACTTTTTCATTTTCAGGCTTACTGTGTAACGGAGCCGGGTGCCGGATCGGATGTATCAGGAGTGAAAATGAAAGCTGAGAAAAAAGGTTTTTTGCTTTAGAAATATGCGAATTTTACTAAAACGTACTTTGAAAACATGTCCATTTGGAGGTATTGCTAATTTTTCAATCTTCGCAACTTTGAGTATTCAGCTATTATATGATACATCAGTTTTTAGATTTTTCAAATTTTTTGCTGCTTGTAATGCAAAAATAACCTGAAAATAAGTAAAAAGTTTGTAAATGTATTTTTGCGAAAAAAGAAAAATTAAAAAAATGAAAAATTTTTAAGAATTTTTTTATGTACGAATTTTCACTTACAAATGTTTCTTTACATTTTCTTTTTTTAAATTTTTAGGAGATTCATATTTACTGAATGGTACCAAGGCGTGGATAACAGGGGGTGGTCCAGCGCAGTGGTTTTTCGTTTTAGCAAGGACAGAGCCGGATCCAAAAGTACCTCCTGGGAAAGCATTCACTGCTTTTGTTGTTGATGGTGATACGAAAGGAATTACACGCGGTAAAAAGGTAACCATTTATACTTTGAAGTTCTAATAGATAATGTTGTAGAAGGGGTTCGTAAACGAGGTAAGAAGTTGTTTGCTACTGCGCTGAATGCG